ACCACCAGTATCTGGGGGAACGTTTGTTCACCAGAGCGCCCCACGGGATGACGAGGTTCGAACAGTCATAAACGACTACAAGACAGTTTTTCAGGCTGGACATAAGGAAGAATTTCTTTACTGTCTGAGCCCCCACGGTCTGGAACAGCCTGCCATCAGAGGTGGTTCAAGCACCTACACTGAACACCTTCAAGAGTAAACTGGATGCTTATGTTGCTGGGATCCTATGACCCCAGCTGACTTCCTGCCCTTCGGGCAGGGGGGCTGGACTGGATGTTCTTCCGAGGTCCCTTCCAGCCCTAATGTCTATGAAATCTTTCCACCCTGTAAAGCCAAGACACTACACAGCTGCAGTATCTCACCCCAGATAGCTGCACCCATGATCGAATATGCCAGTCCTTCCAACTGTGAAAGTCTAGCATTGGCAATAGGTATTTTGCATGGGCAATAACTGCACTATTGAGGCCATGGTTTGCAAAACCATCTGGGACACAGTGGCCTGAGAGATGCTGTATAAATGTTATTGTCTTGCTTATTGGTAAGTTCATGTCATTTCCCCACAACCTCGCTCTACCTGCCCAGAAATCTGACCTTCACACTATTTGCATCTTCAGAGAAGTGTTGCCCCTGTTCTGTGCCCTACCAAGTCCATTTATTTTCTTATTCTCATGAGCAAATACTTTTGTGTCTCTCTCCAGTTACCGTGTTGTCACTGATGATCATAGCCTGCAGCTGTTGCTGCAGTCACTGTTGTGGCTGCAACAGAGGTTCTGAACGGAGAGGCAGGAAGATCCAAGTCCAGCCATTTGCCCATGCATAAAATGCATCCAGAAAAGCGGAAATCTACTGCAGAAGGGCATGGCAAGACACCGTGGCTGAATCACATGCAAAGGACTCCCCACTCCCTCAACTAGGTGGGGGGAGGGACTGTTAATGAAGATACAGAGCAAAGGAGGAAAATGGACCACGGATCAGATTAGGCTTTTCTACAGTGACCTCTGCCTGGCTCGGATGTGGCCACATAGGGAGCAGTGTTCCAGCATGCTCGCCTCCACAGACAGAAACATACTACCAAGACGACAGACGGACAGGGTGGGAAAGCATCAGTCTGTCTGAAGAGGACAGCACGGCTGGGCAGGCAGCAAAGTATCTTTGTAAGCAAACAGCAGCTAACAAAGACCATGTGCAGCCTGGCATGGGCTTATGAAGGTGTTTTGCCCTCTTCACCAGTGACCTAAGCCAGAAAGATGATGCCAGACACCAGCAATTCCTGCCGACATAAAATTGGGAAGTGCATGTACTCAGCACCCCTCAGAGTCCTACTCACATATAAAGCCTGGTGGGGTTTAACAGAGACATGCACTCAAAACATAGCATAATGTGGCTGGCATGCGAGCTCAGAGACTGCCAATATGGCTAGCAAATGCTCCCTGCTTTTCTCAGTGTTACAAAGACATGAAAACTGCCAAAAAGGAGAACAGTTAGACTATATGCAATATCTAGCATATACAGAAAGACAAAGGCAAGAGGGTAAAGCCCACCAACACAATGTTATTTCATTTAGTTGCTCTGCCGCCAAGGAAGTTTTTGCTACATATTTAGCTCCTTGTCTTCCATTCAAAAATTATTGTGCTTTTTCTGCATATTGCAGGGTGAATATTTAGTACAGTGCATGGGGAATGACAACATTCCCCATTACTATATATGGGAGCTGTGTTTCTAGCTCCCTGCACTGGGTGCCATTTATATTAGAGGTAGCAAATATTATACTTAAGATAGATATACGTGCACACAGTCTCATTTGAGAGATAAAAGACAGCAAGGGCAGTGTTAATTCAATACATACATGCAGCAGCTAAGAGAAGGAACCCAGACAAGTGGCAGTGCCAGGAATGGGCTGTATAGCTAAAATTGACCGTGCAAATAAATCCCTTTTCAACACTTCAGCCACTGTGTACATTTGGTTTATATACCAGAGCAAATGTCAAGGTAGGAATAGTAAGGGGACAGGGCGGTGGCATTGGGCAGGACACTGGTAACTGGGGATAGAAAGCACAGTAGTTATTTACCACAATTACACTGCCTAACAGACAGATCACTGTAAAGAGAAATTAAAGACAAGCTAATTTGTAGTTACAAGTGGAAACAAGCTGCCTTCTGCTTACACTTGGCATTTTTAAAGTTACGATTGAAACAAATATACTGCACATTTACGGCCTCAAAATTCAGCTAAAAGCATGCTGAATTACACAGCTTTAAATACAGCTTCTTGAACAATGCGGATGCTGCCATTAGAAGGGACAATGAAAAACAGAAAGCTATTCAAAAGAATCCCTTAACTACATTACCAAAAAAACCCAAACATTCACGGTGATTTAAATTAATGCTATATATTCTTTGCACTGCAACTTCTTGCTCTTCACAAACATAGAATAGATTTACCTGTTTTGAATCATATTCCCTTTTTTATACTTTGGAATAATTCTGGAGCTACAGAGTTGCCCACAATAAGGAGAAATGCTTAGAATAAGGCAGGGAATCACACCCTCGCCCTCTACACACACACAGAGCACACACCACCACTACACTAAAATTGCATGCACATGCACGCACCTCCAAGCCCCCTGCCTTTTGGAAGAAGAGGAGGATGCTTCTGTGCAAGAAGTTTTGGACCTAACTTGACAGGCCACCGCTGTAAGATGGCAACATACTCAAAATTATACTGAAACCAAAAAGATAGCCAGAGATAGAGGCTGGCTATCTTGTCAGTAGATGCAAAGGGTCTCCTCCCAACTAATCAACAAAATAATTAACCTCAAAATTTCACATCAATTTATCACAGCAAACATTCACATGAATGACGCACTTTTCATAGGGCTTTACAGGCTTTGGTACAATAACCTGTGCATGGTCCACAAGGCAGATCAATATTACTACTCCCAACTGTCTGGTGGTGCAAGCTGAGGCACAGGCACATTAAGTGACTTGCCGAGGGGATACAGGGAGTCAAACACATCCTCTCTTGGGATGGACTCAAACAGGCCTTTTGTTTTTAAATAATACCGTAACACAAACCTTGACACACTGATGACTAAACAGCCCCTATTTCTTCCTTAAGCCTAGCAAGATAATGTCCGCTATAGAAACGAACAGAATTCCCCTAAGAAATGCTTCACAATCATGGAGGTGGTGTGTGATGGTGGAGCCACAACAGCTGTCACAAGGGCACTGCATTGAGGAGTCTCCCAGTGCTGAAGGGGAGGCGAGCACTGCCAGGAAGCTGCTGCTGGAAGCCATTATCTGCACACACATGCAGAGAGCAATCAGAATAGCTGCTGGCAGGGTTAGAAAGCTGTCAGCGATGGGGGAAGAGGTGGGGGAAAAGCACCTTATCTCTGTCACCACAGTGTTCCTGAATTACCAGCGACAGGGGACAAACGAGGAGATGATTAGAACGAGAACAACAGCAAGCTTAATTGTCTGTATAAAGCAACACCCAGGATCACTTTTTAGAGCAAGTGAGATGGTCTTACAGGAGAGAGGTACTCAAGTATGGCTTCTGCGGAGCTTCAGTCCTTACTCGCGTGCAGACGGTGACGCGTGTGAGCAGTGCCGCTGGACTGAGTGGGACTCTTTGAGTGCTTGAAATACAGGCTTAGTAACTTGGCTGCTTTGGGATCCACGTCCTCTGCCCAATCCCTGCTCCCACCAAGTTTCATGGGGATTTAACAGCAATCCAGCAAGCCCTGCTTCAACTTGCTGCCTTTCCACAGCTTGTGACTGGCCCCAGATTATAGTAGCCAATTCACCCCCACTCCCAGCACCCCACCTGGGTGCACTTCTGACCTGTTGGCTGACATGAAGCTACAGTGCAGAGCCACTAGTGGTTTTTCCCTCTGTCTAGGGCCACTCCTACTCAGAAAAGAAAACCAATTCAGACATGGGCTAGCTTTCAAACCCAGACTGCTGTAAGCAAGCAACAGCTGGTGCAAAACTAGAAGAACAAAGGGGAGAGAAACAGTAGATGCAGTCCCTGATGAGACCATTGTGGAAGTATTTCTTTTTTAAATAGAATTCATGGTGACAAAGTGGGGTGAGTGATCAGCATCCCCCAGCAGAGCAGGCTAAGTGTGCACTTATGCATCTCATATTTTCATAGTTGTTAGGAGCTGGAAGGGACCTTACAGATCATCGGGTCCAGCCCCCCTGCACCTGGGCAGAGAAGACCTGCTGGGATCAGATGACCCCAGCAAGATGGGTGTCAAGATGCTTTTTGAAGACTGCCAGGGTGGGTGACTGCACCACCCCTGGTGGGAAGCCTGCTCCAAACCCTTGGCACTAGACTTGTAAAGAAGTTTTTTTCCTTATGTCCAGTCTGAAGCGATCTTCAATCAGTTTGTGTCCATTGTTTCTTGTCCTCCCCTGGGGGGCCTTGGTGAACAGATGCACCCACAGGCCCTAATATCTCACATGAAAGCTCCCACTCTCCACGATTTGCACTCTCAGACTTTAGTCTTCCAATGACCTCAGTTAATGCTGCTTTTAACTGGTCTGAAGGGAAGCAACAATTCACCTTCCCTCCAAAACTTACTAAAGAGTATGTTTCTAAATGAAGCTGTCACTGCCAATCTGCACTGAAGTGGGAGATCATTTCCCCCACCATCCCTGCTAACAGCCTTGCTTTTGGTGGCTATCACCTCTCCTAGCAAATCCAGAAATTCGCAGGTTCATTTGCAAGTGCCAGTAAAAGTTTCCTGTTGGAATGGATGCCTGCAGCAGGATGCATGTTTGAATGAAAGATGCCTGATTAAACTGCAGAGCGTTGTGTGGGAACAAAGTGTTGTGTAATCTCTCTTTAGGTGTGAAAGGTGACCTGTCCAAATGAAACACGCTCGTACTCATAGCTCTGTAAAGCCATGTGTCCAAGCTTTTTGGGGCGGGGGGGAAGTGTGGCAGAAGGCCACCTCTGTTTCTCCCCAAAAGCTCTGCTCTGTGACAATTCGGTTAAGATGGGCCCTACAGAGGGCACACACCTTGCCCTATCTCTTTAAGTAACCTGAGCTGGATACATTCCTGAGGGAGGGGGGAAACCTGCTCCCTCTGCCTGCATGACTGGCATCACATACCTGGGTGAGGAGCTTGGGCTCCCTGGGGAGCTAGGAACTGCCAGTCTGCCCAGCAACTAGTGATGCATTTCAAATTGGCTGGCTGAGAGCCAACAGGTGCTGACCTCATTTACCTGGTCCAATGGAAGCCGGCACCTGTTGGCTGTCAGCCAACCAATTTGAAATGCATCACTAGTCTGAAATCATCCAGAGCACTGCCTCAGAGGCAGTGTTGCTATGCACTGCGATTTTTCCCAGGTCAGAAAAGCACGTGCACAAGACTTGCAGAGCTTTACAAGTTTTCAGAAGTCTCATCTGAGGCCAAAAC